TCCTGTAAGACACCTTTAGGGACTGGAAGGCATCCCTGTAGCCTTCTGTTTTCCAAGCTGATCAACCCCAACTCTCTCAGCCTCTCCCAACAGGGCAGTTGCTCCAACCCTCCACCCTTTTGTGGCCCTCTGTCACAAAAGCACACCAAAATGGCTACACACACACACACGTTATAAACTCAGAGAAACCTTTAATCTGCAGCAGAAATCAAGCAGCCAAAGCTTTATTCACCAAAACAACATTCTACTGGCATTTAGCAAATACAGATTCGATATGCGGGTTGGGAATATCACCATACGCAGCTGAGTTAAGATTTCTTTTGTTGTAGGCCAAATGATCCAAAACATGTAACTCACTCCCTCGCCTAAAAAGGGAGAGGCTCTCAATCCCAAGAAGTTACCTTAAGAGGTGTCCCAACTCAAGGGGAGAGTCTCTGACCACAGACCCGCTGCTTTGAAGAGGACCAGCTCTATGAGGGGGCCCCATTTATACCCTGGTCGAAGCTGATCTGAGGTCAAAACATGGTCATGTCAGCCTCCTATTGGCTGAGGACCCCAACTTTCCCACCTTTGACCTCCCTTGGGTGGACCAGACAGGAACCATGAGGGGGGAGGCAGTTCTGGCAGTTCTGTAAATTGTCATTTACACTTGTCCTGGTTTGAGCTAAGTAGAACTGATTTTCTATTTAGTGATTTTACTTTTCAGCTCAGTCTCTTCTAAGTGGCTGAATTTGCTGAAAACTAGCAGCACGTTTTTCAGTATGTGCTGCTACAACAATAAGTTCAAGGCCAATGGTCTCACCATGGGTCCCGTGTCTGCGCCTGCAGGGGGAGGAAGCGGACTCAAAACTGACCAACTAGGTACTCTATCCCACAGACGTCATACTCGGTATAAAGCCGAGGGATCACAAGGGTCCTGACCCTTCTTCCATCTTGGAGCCCATCCATCTTGGACCCTTCTGTCCATCTCGATCCTGCAGTGGCCAAAGTCCAAGCAGAACTCTGCTAGTTCATCTGCCGCTGATCCTGATCCATGTGGTCCTGCATCCTGCTCCCACTGCTGCCGAGTTCGGTCTGGGACTTTCCAGTGCCCTGCTCCGCAGAGCCTCTGGTGATGTATACGGCACTGTGGGGAGGATGGGGGAAGAACTTTATATTGGCTTTGTATATATATTTGTACATATCTGTATATATTTCATTGTTTTCCTATTTACATTACTATCCTGTAGTATTAGTATTATTGTTTTATTAAATCTGTTAGTTCATTTTCCAACCCATAAAGTCTCTCTCCCTTATTCTCTTTTCTTTTCCCTTCTGGGGAGGGGAGAGGAGTTAATAGAGAGCATCTGTCCAGGATTTAGTGGCCAGCAAAGCCCTAAACAATGTCACTATCAAACCATCTTAATCAAATGCCTATTGAAGTAAGCATTTAAAATCTATTTCTGAACTGAATGAACCAGTAAAAATACAGCATGGTGATGTTTTACATTTCCTAACACATTTCAGTCACTATAATAATCATTAATTTGAATACTCAGGACACGTTAAAAAGTGTATTTTTGTGTGTCTGCGTATGGAAGCACAGATCTAAAAATCCACATATATACAAAAATATACTCAGGAAGAATCTTGCAAAAATTAATGAAAACCTTATTAAGTTCTACTTGGTAATAAAGTTTTTGAAAGGGATAATTAACTTCTGCAAAGTCTGTAAATGCCCTTAGAAATAAAGGTATTCAAATGAAAGTATGATCTTAGGTAAATTATTTTTTCCACAATACACTTTCAATTGCAAAAACCACTATGCTTCTCAAGCTACATCATTTACTTCAAAATTGTTACTGTGGAAATAGATATAAAAAATGTAAATGTGACTGATTTCAGAAGGTTTCACTTGTCTACAAAACTGTTATTCAAATTTTTTATGATGCAAAATGCTATCATAATCAAGTAGAAATTATGTGCTCCCAATGCTGAATCACAGAATCTCAGAATCACAGAATGCTAGGGGTTGGAAAGGACTATCCAGTCCATCCCCCCTGCCAGAGCAGGATCACCTAGACCAGGTCACACAGGAACATGTCCAGACGGGTTTTGAATGTCTCCAGAGAAGGAGACTCCACAACCTCTCTGGGCAGCCTGTTCAGTGCTCTGTCACCCTCACAGTGAAAAACTTTTTCCCATGTTCAGAGGGAACGCCTTGTTCCAGTTTGTACCAGTTGACATTTGTCCTATCACTGGGCACCACTGAAAAGAGTCTGGCCCCATCCTCTCAACACCCTTTAGATAGCAGGTCCATTTATAAGCATTGATAAGATTCCTTCTCAGGTTCTTCCAGGCTAAACAGGCTCAGGTCTCTCAGCCTTTCCTCATGAGGGAGATGCTCCAGTCCCCTCATCATCTTTGCAGCCCTACACCAGACTTTCTCCAGTAGCTCGTATTTCTTGAACCAGGGAGCCCAGAACTAGACACGATATTCCAGATGTGGCCTCACCAGGGCAGAATAGAGGGAGAAGGGAGCCTCCCTTGACCTGCTGACCACAGTGTTCTTAATGTACCCCAGGATACCATTGGCTTTCTTGGCTGCAAGGGCACCTTGCTGGCTCATGGTTTACTTGTGGTCCACCAGGACTCCCAGGTCCTTCTCTGCAGAGCTGCTTTCCAGCAGGTCACCTCCTAACCTGTACTGGTGCATGGATTATTCCTCTCCAGGTGCAGGACCCTACACTTGCCTTTGTTGACTTCATTAGGTTCTGCTCTGCCCAAGTCTGCAGCCTGTCCAAGTCACACTGAATGGCAGCACAGCTTCTGGTGCACCATTCCTTCCAGCTTTTTATCATCAGCAAGTTTGCTGAGGTTACACTCTGTCTCTTCATCCAGGCCACTGAAGAATGTATTCCTCCAGGAATTCTTCATTTTTCCCAGTCTATTTAAGAGACAACCATCTCTACCACATCTCCAAGTCAATGAAAAGAGAGCAGTCCCAGCACAGAGCACATCAAAGAAACAGCCCAACTTTGTTTCTCTGAACTGCCTGTGTGAGGAACCCATGGCCACCATACTCTAAAGATTAAACAAATCTCCTACATTATGACTAAGTTAACACAATGTGAATACCTACCACAGTATCCACAATCCAAAAAGGATAAAAAGACAAAACTGTCCTGAAAAGTTGGTTCACTAAAAACATACTTTAAATGGCAGATCATAAAAATAAGGAAAAACAAATTGACTCCCTTTATCAGATTAGCCTCACTAGGAAAGAAAAAGCTAAACATAACACACCTAAGACATCCTATTTCCAACTCCCACTATTTTACTTTTGGTGATGTCTGCAGCACAGCACTTCAGATAAGGAAAGACTAGTTTCAGTCCCAACTGAGCATTCTTTCTTCTGGTGCAACACTTTGTAATAACTGAGCGTTCAGGGGCTTGTTTTGTACAGTAGTTCTTTCACCCAATTGGAAAGTATTTAACCCATTCGCCTATGAACACAACATAAAGGTTTCTACTGATTTCATTAGACTACAAATCAGACGCTCGATCTGTCTCACACACAAGCAAAATAATAATCCATCTCTGCCTCATAGGAAACTTCCTTATAGAAAAGTAATTTAGATGGAAAAAAGGACTTCTGGTAACACAGAACAGTTCACACGTTAAGCAGAAGATAAATAATGTTAATGAATGAGGACTGAAATAGATTTTCTTTAAAAATCCCTTTTACACTTTAAAAAAATCTTATTAATTACTAGTAAAATATAGACATTAACCTGCAAAATTATGAAATATAGACAAGTGAAAGCAGTTGTTTGAATGTAGTTAAGCATTTTAACACTACATTTGTTCATAAGATTTTTAGAATTAACTCTTGGCTTTCCTCTCCAAAAACATGGATGGAACAACAACTCAGGTCATTGCTTTAGCAATTTACAAAGGAAAAATAACTTCAATTCTTTTAACTTTTGTAGGCTCACCCACTGCTTAACAAAAACAAAGCAAGCCCAATATAATAAATAACACTAGTGCTTAAAACAGTACGGGCAACCCATAAGGCTGCCCTACCGGGCTCTGATGAAAAGGGTTTCATCAGGAGTTGTAGGACAATTCTCCTTCTCAGTTACAGTCTCTACTGTGCCTGAAGCAGAAACAATCACGACCGTTTTAGCTGCTGAAAGAGCTTTCTCCTTCTCTGCAATGGCAGCACAGACTGCCACAATTTCATCACTTTCAAAGTCATAGTCTGGGATTGATTCTTGTGCAAGCTCTGTCTCTTTTGCCAGTGCTTGCACTGCCTCAGTCTTTGTTGCCCTCTGCTGTTCGTGTAGTTTTCTTGCCCAGGAAAGGTCCTCTTTCCATACTTCAGGGTTCATTGGAAAGATGTGTAAGGATACCTGGAAACTTCGGATTGCCTGTAAATATAACAGGGAAGAAACAAGGTTTGGAAACTTTAAAGCCTACATATTTCATCATAGAAATTTAAACAAAAAAATGTACATGATTCAAGCAAAGACAGAAGTGACTGTACTCCAGTCTGTCTTTAGTGGCACAATCTTCCCTCAGCTGTGAGATCAATAGCAGCAATACCCCCAAACAACTGTGCATACAAGTGTCTAAAAGTACCAAGAATGCATGAACAAATCAGGTACCTGGCAACAAAGGCACAAATAAAGAGTTCACATGTCAGAACTAATATTGTAATTAAAAAGAAAAAAGCAAAAATTATTTATTTGATGGTTTTCTATCCCACTTTTCTCCTATCATCAGATGTACGGAAAGGCAGAAGCAGACAGGTATATTTTAAATACAGAAAAGGGATGATTAGGATTTGAAGTTCCACTAATATTGCTGCTTTTAAATTAGCACACAGTCATTTCACATACAGACCTAATATTACAGTAATCCTAGCCCCATGATAAACAGTTTCTGTAACAGGTTTGTGGTTGCAAACACACCGTTTAGGTAAAAGTAGACAAATAAACCCCCAACTTGGAGAACTGCTCTAAGAAAGAACTCCTACAATCTCATAAAGCATGTAATGTTCATACAAGTAAGAACTACAGTTGATACTGTTTCTCCTGTCTTTCAGCTCACAAGTACTCATCACAGAAGTTTTTAAATACAGAAAACTTTTGACTCTCTGATCCAACAGATGTGATACTCAATGAGAAGAGATTGCTACAATACTGGGAAAATGCTAGACCAAGAAATACAGCTGTATTAAGTTTATAGTTATATTAACAGTGAAAAGGTCAGGACTGACCTTACCTATGCAGACTGATGTGTATGTGCACACAGGCATGTGTGTATTTCACATAGATGAGTCTGTGGTCAGTGATGGAAATGCCCACCTGCGTGACCAAACTTTTGTGCAACAAAATAGAGAAGCCTTTCCATAGGGTGGGAAAACAGCGATGATATAGATTGGGTTACATGCGGGGAGAGTTCTAGCAACTTGCTTATACAGACTTCAGAGATATGAACAACCATCAAATTCCATATTCTGTTGTAACTTTTAAATACTTAAAGCATGCAAATAAATTTGAAAAATCACTTTTTCATCTACATTGACAGAAACTGCCAATTCATCCTTCTGCTGGCACAGATTAATATACGAACGGCGTATGACATGAATTCAGCAGACAAGAGATACAAGTCAGATGTAAGAAATGCTGATTATGCTATCGGTATTACTGCTGTTTTAATAGGCAGCCTTTCAGTTCCAGGAAAAAAAATAATACTTTATTATTGGTCCACAGCCAGCTCTGAAGTGCAGGAACATGCTGAACTTTAAACAGAACGTGGAATGCAGTTTAATTCTTGCAAAACAGTGTCATTTTATTAAACTTTTTTGCTAGCTTTTAATTTCCAAGGATAGATGAGCTACAAATAAGCACTAAATGCTCTTTCTTTTGTACTCCTGTTGAAAACAAAATATAAATAAACACCACCTGCTTTTAAGCTCTCCATGAAAGAAGCCCCCTAATTAAAACCTGTCTATATAGTTATGTTTATGCACAATAAACAACATTAAACACAGCAATCAAATTTAAGGTAATATTTAAGAAGCTTAGAAGCTGCCTTGATATTCATAAAATACAGCATAAACCCACCATCTTTTTAAATGTATTAGAAAAAAAATATGTGTAACATTTTTATAAACAAATAACACAAAAGTAAATTTTAAGTGCTGAAAAGATCAGAGAGACTCATTTTAAAGCAGCAATGTAATACTGAAAAACACAAAATTGTTGTCCACATAAAATTTCATGTCACCACTGTAACAGCTTCCACAGCTATTAATTTCTATTAAGACAGAAGAAAAGGAAATAACAGTGCTGCGTTTAATTATCCTGCTGCTGAAGATGTAAATCTCCTTATCCAACTGCCTGCCTGGCATTACAGGAAAACGTGGTGGCACTAGGTAAATTCAGTATTTCTAGCCTGACTTTAAAGGGCAGCTGTGGTCCTAACAGATGCTGCATGCAAGGATTATGGAATTTTACAACAGTACATAGTCATAGATCTGCTTTTTCTTCTGTAGAGAAGAGTACTCTAAATCTGCTGCAAGATATTACCACTTGCTGAATTATCTACTTAAAGAATTTGTATTTTTAAAATGTTTCACGTTTTGTCTCACTAAAGGTTATTCCATAGGAAATAATCTTTCATTTGTGCCATAAGCAAAGTATCTTCTGCTCTCAGAGTCTTGAAATGTTAAGTTTTGATCAGACTACACGTGTTTTTATAACACAATGAGCCTAGTAATTGTCACTACATAGTGACCCCTAAAAAAAGATAAGGGGGCAGTTTAAGAGGTTATGCAGTTCACATCTGCACCCAAGGTTTGTAATAGGCTTTATGTTGCATTTGACCCATTTCAAAGGATGTCCACCAGTTAAGATATATACATCTCTATAAGCAATCTTTTTCTGTGTTAAATGCTCCTTAAATATGGATTTTATTATTTTTTTTTAACAGCATCTGACAAAATACTTGGGGGTACTTGTTGATTAGAAGCTCAACATGAGCCACCAATGTGCACCTGCATCACAAGAAGTGTGGCCAGCAGATAGGGAGAGGTGATTCTGCCCCTCTACTCTGCTCTGGTGAGACCTCACCTGCAGTGCTGTGTCCAGTTTTGGGGCCCTCAACACAACAAGGACATGGAGCATGTCCAGAGGAGGGCTACAGAGATTATCAGGGGCTGGAGCACCTCTGCTATGGGGACTGGTTGAGGGAGCTGGGGTTGTTCAGCCTGGAAAAGAGAAGGCTTCGGGGATACCTTGTAGTGGCCCCCCTTATTGAAGGGGCCCTACAAGAAAGCTGGGGAGAGACTTTTGACCAGGGCAGGTAGTGGCAGG